GAGTGAGGGCTCCGAGGTGGGGGAGCCAGAGAAAGCTTTTGGGAAGACAGGAAAAAGCACATCACATTTATTCATTGCCTGCTGTGCGCCACGATCCACCCAACTCCATGAGGATGGGTGATGTGATGTCATTTTCACAACAGCCCTGGAAGCCCGGTGCTGCTATCTCCATGTCCATAGCCAAATACAGTGAGGCTCTGAGACGCTGAGTTGCTCCAGCGAGTAGTGGCGGAGCCAGCATTGGAATTCTGCCAGGCCCACTGCAAAGCAGAGTTTTGGGCTGGCTTGGAAGCATGAACAGAATGCAGAACTGGGGGCAGTTAGAAGGGTTGTAGGAGGGTGTTCTTGCATCCTGTGTGCATTTGTTCCTTTATCAAGGGGTCACCAAAGCCCTGCTCTGCCACAGGAGGGAGCATGGCAGGAGCAATGGGGGCAGGGGGCTCAAGGATCAGATGTTTAGCCTAGGAGGTAGACCAGTCATCCACAGGAGCAGCGCTGCAGGGAAGTGAAGAGGCAGGTTGGGGTGAGTGCACAGAGGATGCTACCGTCTGGGACCACAGGGCCAGGAGAGGGGATGAAAGCTCTGCCCGCTGCCTGTCTTATTTGGGCAGTGGGACTGCTCCTCCCGTAGGCTGCCGGAGCTGCGTTCTGCCTGGTTTCAGGGCCGAGAGGGTTACCTCCCGCAGATCCGCATTCTGTGTTCCCTGCAGCTCGCAGAGACACTTAATCAATCCTTGTTGAATGAAGTGAGTCCGGCAAAACACAGGCCTCACGCTAGGAACTCTGCTCTCTGTCCTCCTGCGCACCCAACCCCATTTGTCTGGGAGCCAGGCTGATTTGTCCAGCCACCTGACACGTATTTACGGCACACCACGTGCGCCCGACTCAGTGCCAGATCCAGGCAGGACAGTGGAGAAAGAGGGGTTTCAAGGAGCTTGCAGTGTGACTCCAAACCCCCAGATCATAGCAAAGCATGAAGTACTAAACAGTGCAGTGCTGAGTATAATTACAATTCAATGCCAGAGGCCAGTGAGAAAGCAAATACATCAATAAGTAAGCATAATCGTAAATAAATAAATAAGTAAACAAATCATTTCTGCAACATCTACTGTGTGCCAGATGTGACTCTGGTATTTATATGTCCTCATAGGCAACCCCCCTCCCCACCCCGAGAAACTTCAATGATGGGGAATAGCGTCCTTATTCAATCCTTCCTCTCACAGATCTGCTGAGCGCCCTCCTGGGTGTTCTTGGCTCTTGGGGTACAGCAGGAAAGGAGGCCGACTCGATCCCTGTCCTCTTGGATGTTGAGTCTTGTAAAGACAGACAGTCATCAAGGAAATGTCACCCATCATGATGCAGAAGATGAAGGGAAGGAACAGGGCACAGGAGACACAGGGCAGGGCCATCTGAGCGAATGCTTACAGATCCACAGGAACAGCTGATCCGTAGCAAGCTTGCACCACATGCCTGACTCTCTGCTGAGTGCCTCACCTGAGTTTAAGCCTCATATCAGTTTCATGATGCCTGTGCTATTATCAGCCCAGATAAGGAAACTGAGGCAAAGTATGCTGTCCAAGGTTAACTGGGAGCTAGAAGCCAGGCAGTTTTAATTTGGGGCCCACGTTCCTAATGCCCACTCTGCTGCCTCCTGGTACAGGAGGAGAAGGAGCCAGTGGGGCTATGGTGGGAGGCGCAGGTGGATGAGGCAGGGAGGTCACGGGAGAAAACACGTGATTATCACCCAGACAAGACAAAATAACTCCTAGGATGCTAGGAACAGAGGGGAGATTGTTTGTTTTAACTTAGCAAAGGCTATCTCCCAGAAATGTGGAGCAAAGGTCATTTTGTGGTCGGACTTCAGAAGCATCTCCATTAAAGCTGGGGCCAAGGCCAGCTGCCTTCTGTGGCTGTTTTTCCAGTTGTGGACGCTGAGTGCAGAGGGGCTGAGATGTGCCTGCGGTCAGGGACTGGGAAGTAGCAAGTCCAGACCAGGTTCTGGAGGGTTGCAGTGGAAAAGCATGCCTTGAGGTGTGAGCTGGTAGAGAAACACTGTCACCTGGTCTTAGGCAGGACGGGGACCTGAGAGCAGGAATAGCATCTGATCATGATTTCCAAAAATGGTTCTCAGTTTTCTAAAAAGCAGAATCCTTCCCTTAAGCCAAATATGACCCAGCCCAAATGCATAAACCCGATGGGCATGGAGCTGCTGTTGGCTGATACGGGCCATGTGGGGCTCTGGACGTCAGAGGCTTCAGAGTCCTGGGGGTCCACAGGGTTCCATTTGAAAGGCACTGGTTTACAGATTCCGTTGGGAATGAGGACAGAAGACTGGGTTTCAGGTGATGAGGGCTTCGGCTTAGAGTGATAGTTGAGGAGACTTTTAGACATGAGTAACAGAGGTTGAGAGTCCTGAGGCACCCCGAGTTTTCTGGTCTGGAAACTGAGCCCTCATCTATGAAGTGCCACTGCCCGCCAGGGAGGAGAACAGAGCAGCTTCCTCACTTGCTCATTCGGAAGTCAAATAAAGGGCATCTGAGAGGAACCAGCCAGTGACTGAGTATGCATGGGCTGCAGAGCAGGTCCCTGACTAGCTAGGGCTTCACCAAGATCCTAGCATCATCTGCACAAAAGAGTTTGGCTGAAGTCTAGTCTCAGACATGGCATGGGGCTTGGCACAGGAGACCCATTGCATGTGGAATAGCTGAACGGATGGAAGGAAGGAAGGAAGGAAAAAGGAAATGAAGAAAAGGGAGGGAAAAGGAAGGAGGGAAGGGAGGTGGAAGGGAGAGAAGGAAGGAGGGAAGGAAAGAAGGAAGGAAGGAAAGTGGGAACGGAGGAAGAAGAGAGAGAAAGAAGGAATGAGGGGAGGGAGGGAGGAATGAAGAGAGGAAGGAGGGAAGGGAAGAAGAAAGGAAAGGAAGGAAGGAGGAAGGAAGGAAAGGAAGGAGGGAATGGAAGGGAAGAGAAAAGGAAGGAGAGAAGGGAGGTGAAAGGGAGAGAAAGAAGGAGGAAGGAGGGCAGTGAAGAAGGAAGGAAGGAAAGCAGGAAGGGAGGAAGAAGGGAGAGAAGGCAGGAAGGAGGGGAGGGAGGGAGGAAGAAAGGGAGGAAGGAAGGTGAGTGAGCAGATGGAAGTAGGCCTGAAGTGCTAACACCAGAAGGCACCTCAGGCAAGCATTAGTCCCATTAAAATCTCCATCGAAGGGCTGGAGGCATTTTTCACTTGGATGCTTGACAGGGTGTGGTCTTTTGTAAAGTGACATGTGACTGTTGCCATTTACTAGTCCTGCAGCAATGGGCCTCCGTTTTATCATCCTTGAAATGGGAATAATAATGCCTCCTCTCCCAGAGCTCGCGTGGGTTGAAAGGGGTTGCACTTGCCAAGTGCCTGGCACCATGTCAGCCCCAGTGAATGGTAGGGATGCGGGGCCGGTGGGTCTCTGCCTGCAGCCGGGCAGGAAGTGGACCTTAGAGAGCCCTGCGAGGCTGGGCCTGGCCAGTAAAGAGCTCCAGGAGGACGGAGCGTGGGAATCAGGCGGGAACTCATTTTACGCTCCGAATCAGCACAAGGGCCCAGGGTGTTAGCGCTTCCTGAGGAATTCTGTGGATCCCTTGGAGAGCAGTGATGTGCCCACCGGAGTGCCAGGGGTGGCTCCAGTGAGGGGTTGGCAGTGCCTCCCCGAGGAGCCCTGAGCAGAATCTTCCTCCTGGCCAGGACGCCCTGCACTCACTGCCCTCTGTGCGGCTCCTTTCTCCCTGAGGATTTCGACCACCCAGGTGTTCAAAGGCTCCTCCCAGTACAGGTCTAGGGTCCTCTTAAAGCCCCTGCTCACTGCACCTAGGAAGTGATTGAGTCCAACCCAAGAACAGCCTCCTCGCTGACCTGTCTCGGGCCCACACAGGAGGCCAGAGCTCTCAGGGCAGGGGAGGGATTTGCCCCTCCTCCCAGGGCTTCACCAGGAGCGCCTGAGGGCAGGACAGGGAGGCAGGGCCCTGCAGTCACAGTCTCTTCCACATTGCAGACTGAGGCCCTTCACCTCCTACAAGCTGCGCCTGAAAGCTACCAATGACATTGGAGACAGCGACTTCAGTTCGGAGACAGAGGCGGTGACCACGCTGCAGGATGGTGAGCAACCCGGGGCCCAGACTGTGTTCCTGGCCACTGCCCCTGGAGCCTGAGACACTTAGGCCCCACTTTCGTCTTGAGCCAGGAAGGGGTCACCAGGGAGCGGTGGCAAGCAGTAGAATTCCATTAGTGACAGACAGCTCGGAGGGTTTCCGCACAGCCTGTGGTCATAAATCAAGGTTTCAAGGGCTTCCAAATGGAATGGAAGGCTCTTTGATTGGCTTCCAAAGCCCCTACTATCCATTAGCATCCCAGAAATTGAATAATTGATAGGGTCATTAAAAATAAATGTCAGCGGGTAGCTGGGTTTTAAGAGATTTTCCCAATTTTTCTCATTCACGAGCAGCTCTTTGACAACAGCGCAGGTAAGTGATGGGAAGTGAGGTCTCCTCAGAGCTCCAGGTGGTGTTTTCAACTGCTCCATCCTATCTCGGCGGCGTTGGGCCTGAAGATGGATTGTCATTCTGTGTGGCCCAGGCCTGTGGTGAGCCCAGGAGGCAGCTCTATCAGCCGCGTCCAGCGGTGATCACAGGACGGGTGGGATGGAAAAGAATGGATGGTGGGGAATAGCTCAGCTCCCAGGCCGGAAACCCAGCACTTAGTTCACCCAGCAGCGCTTCATCATCATTCCCGCAGCCTACCCCCAAAGCACTGTCTTTTCCATTTAACGCTCCAGTGGAAGAATTTTCCAATAAACCAATTTCCAACTGGCTCACCCTATGACCTCACATCTTCAGTTCTGCTCTCTTGGTGACCTGGAAGTGTGGTTTCTCCCACACAGGCCTCCCTTGGCCTCAGGGACCAGCAGAGGAGTTGAGCAAACCATTCCTGGCTTCTCAGCAACTCACAGAGGCTGTTTTGCTGCAAACCCTGCACTCCCAGCAGAGCAGAACCCGCAAGAGCCTCCGACAGGCGCCAGCTGTGCTCCCAGGAAAAGTGCACCTGCCCCTAGAAAAGCACTGTCTGGCTTCTGTGGCTCCTGCCTCTCGCCCAACTCTTTTGTGAGCGCAAATCCTGGGGGTTTATTGGAGCTGTGGGGAAAGCCAGTGAGGAGGAGAGGAGCCGCCCTGGGTGTATGGGGTGGTCCAGGGCCTTAGTGAACCCTGCTGGGCCCTGAGGAGCTGGGATCAGCCCCAGGAGCTCACTGTCCAAGGGTCCCACATCCTTGGATTCAACCAACTGTGGATTGAAATGTTCAGAAAAAAAGTTAAAAATACAAATTAAAGAAATACAGTGTAACAACTATGTATTTGTTTGGAGAGTATTATGACATTGTACAATTTCTGGATCACTCATAAGGGTGCCTACAATTATAACATTGTAACATTGTTATATAACAGTGTTATAAATTAGAACATGGTAGGAGGACTGATGAGTAACCTAGAAATGGTTTACAGTATTCAGGAGGATGTGTACAGGTTACATGCAAATACTGCACAGCTTTATTGTAGCAAACCTGGAGGCCCAGGCTACTTGTAACTGGGAAAGCCTTCCCCACTTAAAGTGGGGACCAATGTCACACTAAACCAGAAGGGAAAGGCTTTGCAGCAACTAAATTACAAAACAAAAACTATATAAATGCATTCATTTTAACCTTACCTTTAACACAGTTGAGGTAATTTTTGCAACTAAGCACTAAATCTTAGAATAAAGAACAAAAACCCACACGAGCTGATGTCATTGTCATAATCTCTCTGACAGATTGTGTGAGAGCAAAGTACAACAGCCTCCTTTGCCCTCCAGGGTGGCATCCAAAAGGACCATTTTTGAAAAAAAAAAATTCAAGGGCCTCTTCAGACTCCGGAGGCTTTTCTTATCCTTTGATATTCAAATCAGGCTTTGATGCACCTATCTTGTCATCGTCTTTCCTGGGATGTGCAGTTTTCTTTTTGCAATGGATTTGCATTGTATTTGTGTTATATTGTCTTACACTATCTAGAGATTGGCAGGCACGGACTCTCTCCAGGGGTTGGGAAACCCTTGGCATGATAGGGAGAGTCCTCTGAGTATGTGTACGGTTTACTGATGAACAGTTTCTTTTTACAGTGATTTCTATTTCTCTGCACAACCTCACAACTCGAGGACATTGAGAACTCCCTGTAATGGCACTGCTGTGTCACCATGGCTGTCAGAAAGCTGGCTAGAGGGCCCACCATTAAGCTGGAACCATAGGAGATTAAGAGGGTTGGAGGGAGACCCATTCCTAAAGCAGAACAGGGACGGTGGAGGTGTGACTGATGCAGGCACTGCCAGGGCTGACGAGGGGGTGCCTCTCAGGTCCAGAGGAAAATCACAGAGCAGGTGACCCTGGGACCCAATCTTGGGTTCTGAGTGGAGAGGCATCTGCTAGATGCACAAGCGGGCCTGTGGGAAGATCCTCATTCCGTTCAGTGAATATGGACTGGATGTAGAATGCATGTCATGCTTCTGCTGGGCCACCAGGATCTTACAGCTGGGGAGGGCTAAGAGTTCAGTTCAATATGCCAAGACAGGACCACACAGATTTGGAGGGAGCAGAGGAGGCAGGGAAGAGGGGCACAGAAGATCTCTTGGATGTGGCAGATGACAAGAAGTTTAGTTTGGCCAGAGTGCAGGGCATGGCCATGGGCAGAGGTCAAACCAACCTTGTCCCTCCACAGAGCAGAGCAGAACCATGGCAGATCCCTCTTTACTTTACCCTGCTGTCCCAGCCAGCTGCAGCCTCACCAGAAATTGATCCCCTTTCCTGACAGCCCTTTAGCATTTCAAACCAAGTGACCTGGCATGATCATGTGTCCTATTCAGGAAAAGTAGCTCTCACCTAGGTATCTAAAAAAAAAAAAAAAAAAAAAAGATATGTTCCCTGCCTCTCCCAGAAGATCTGAGCCCTGCAGGGAAGGTCTCGAGCCAGAGAGCTCCAGGACAGCGTCTCTGGAGGGGCGGCTCTCAGAATGTCCACCACAGAGAGAGCCCAGTCTGGGTCTGTTTCTCAGGGCCATTGTTAGGGTTGGGTTCCTCCTATCCCGGGCACAGGCTTTGAAGGAGAAGCTCTGGGAAGCCCCAAGGAAGGGCAGGAGAAGGGGACCCCTGGAGAAGGAAGGAGGCAGGGCTCATCAGCCTCCCACACTCCCTGAGGGTGGCCGTGGGAAGGGCGGCAGAACATAACAACCACCCTGATCCCCGCTTTTCTCTCCTGTGTGTTTCAGTTCCAGGAGAGCCCCCGGGATCTGTCTCAGCAACGCCACACACCACGTCCTCTGTCCTGATACAGTGGCAGGTAAGAGCGCGGGGAATCACATGCATTTTGTCAAATGTGTTCTCATTTCCCTGCACATTCAGCCACGATGGCTGGACGTGGACTGCAAGTGGAGCCCTGAGCTAAGCGTTTGAGTGTAGAACCAAGGAGACACCCCCTCAGACTCACAAACGCGAGGGGGAAATGGTGTCAATTATCATCTCAGTGTAATTTCCAAAACATGGGAAGCAGGACTGCGATGCACGCAGAGAGTGAACTTGACTGCCCTTATTCAGGAGGACCGGCAGGATGGGGAGGTCAGTCTGAGAGCGTTGGAGGAACTGGGTATGTCTCGGCATTTCACTGAGGATGTTGGAGCAAGGCTTCTATGTATACACAAATTGGTTATTGCCCTACAGGGCAGTAAAACTGCAACCACTGGAGTTAGCTTTTCTAGAGAAGTAATCTGCAACCAAACAAAATATCTACTGGATTGTACGTATTTTCTCGAAGTCTGGGTCTTTATTTATTATTATTATTATTATTTTGGGGTGGAGTCTTGCTCTGTCACCAGGCTGGAGTGCAATGGCACAATTGGCACAATCTAGGCTTACTGCAACCTCTGCCTCCCATGTTCAAGCGATTTTTCTGCCTCAGCCTCCCAAGTAGCTGGGATTACAGGCACATGCCCCTATACCCAACTTTTGTATTTTTAGTGGAGACGGGGTTTCACCATGTTGACCAGGCTGGTCTTGAACTCCTGACTTCAGGTGATCCACATGCTTCAGTCTCCCAAAGTGCTGGGATTACAGACGTGAGCCACTGTGCCTGGCTAAGTCTGGGTCTTTAATCTCCAGTGCGCAGTGAGTCAAACAAAGGCATGTTCTTCCAGATAATCACAGACTCCTTGGTGGGCCTGCTCAGCAATTCTCCGGTAAGGCATTGAAGGACACGCTGCCGTCTCTTTCCATTAGTTTCAATTTTGGGCAATGCTTACTAACAAGTACATTGACGACAAATATAACAGAGGGACAAAACTGCCGAAGGAAGGGCTGCAGGCCCCAGGGAGATCCCAGCTGAAGAGTGGGGTGGGGAGCTGCGCCGTGTGGCCCGGGTCCGGGGCAGGCAGATGTTGAGTTTCCCCAGGGCTGGAACTTGGCTTGGCAACAGACACAACAGACGGACGGGCAGGGGGCCAAGCGCAAGGGCAGAGTCGAAGCTACTGGCCCGCAGGGAAGTTCCCGCGGCCAGAGTGGGGGCTGCCTTGCCAGGGAGCTGGGAACATGGTGGGATGGGGCTGGCGTGGGGCGGGTGCGGCGCGAGGCCAGGTCAGCCTAGGAGTAGCTGCTGGGAGCTGGGGTTGGGCTGGGGTCAGGAGGGCAGTCTGGTGGGCGCGAGATTTTTCCTCGGAGCTGATGCTGTCCTCAAGGACAATGGCAGGGTGCCCGAGGCAGCAGGTGGGAATGATGGTTCGGGAAATCAGGAGAAAATCAAGAGGGGAACAATGGTCCAGACATGGCCTTGGAGAGCAAGGGGGTTTCCCAGCCACATGCCCTCCACTGGTACAGAAGGGGGAGACAGGAAGGGGTTCTGGGGAAAGGAGGGGCTGCGGGAAATGGAAGGGATGCTGGGAAACACAGCCGAGGCCACCAGCAGGTGTCCCAGACAGCGTCTTCCAGGGCCCTGCAGAGGGGCCACTCCAAGGAGCAGTGGCTTCACTCTGCAGCACGGAGGACGAGGCCCAGGCTAGGACAGTAGGTGCCAGAGATACCTGCTGGGCTGGGAGAGAGACGTGCTGAGTGAGCAGCGCCAGCCGCAGCCTTCCTGGGCATGGGCTTGAGGTGCGTGGTGCTAGAGATGCGAGAGAGGAACCCAGTGACCACAGCCTGGCTGGGCCGTGGGTGGGGCCAGCCAGGGGAGCTTGGGAGCGGCTCCGCTTCCCCTGTCTTGCTGTATGATCCTATGAAATATGACTATGTTTGAGGTATGAAAGTGGCAATTTATGTGATTCACCCGCATATCACTTGCTACTGCCACTTATCTGAGGGATAGAGAGTGGGCGTTTAACAAGCTGGGTTCTGTGAAGAGCGTGTAATCTCCTTCAAGTGTCCATGGAGGTGTGCGGGGCTGCGTCCCGGCTGCCTTTGTCTTGCTAAGGGATCCACCTTCTCTGGGTAGGATAGGAACATTTCCAGGGCATGAAAGAATGTCCCAGCGTCTCCTGGTGGAACTGGAAGAGCGCGTCTGTGGCACTCAACCCTGCTGAGCTTACCAGAGCATAAGGGGGCCAGCGTGGGAACCAAGAAAACAGCCTGGGCCCCACCCCTGCCCCTGGGAAGTCACAGCCCCTGATCTGTCTGGGAGCCACTGGCAAAGTGACAAAGGACCCACCCGCACTTACCATCGGGCGACTGTGGCCCTGAGAGGCCCCCCTGGCTCCGGGTTCCTCCTTTGTAAGAACAAAAGGTCACAAAGCTGAGCTCAGGTCTCATGCAGCATCTGTAGTCTTTGGGGTCCACCAGACCCCCAGACCCGAGCTTCAGCCCTGACTCCCGTGAGTGTCTCCAGTGGGAGGTCAGAGACATTCAAAATGGAAACAGAAAGTCCCAAGTGCTTGTTTCCTAACCTGCACCAACACGGTCAACCACAAGAACATTGGCACTTTGTACCATGCTGAATCCTACCAGAAAATTCCCATTTTCTTTGTCGACATAGCAGCAGCCTGCCAATACCTCACCTAGGTAAGCTTCTTTCCTATAAAGGCAGTGAGTGTCAGGGCTGGGATGCGTCACCTCCACCAAACAAGGCTTGTGAAGGCATCACCTGCTGTCGGCCCCAGTGGATGGTGCAGAGCTTGAGCCCCCCTTGGTGCTGCTGGACAGCTCAGGGACGTGCCTAGTGCCACCTGGAGGAGCTGGGCTGATGTGTGCCTCAGCCGTCCCCCTCCAGAGCCCAACAGAACAAACTAATTGCACGAACAGGAGGTGGTCAATACAACGTCCTGTAGAAATAAATGCTTGTCAACTGCCAGGCAATTGAAGTATAATTAAAATTATGAGTAATTTACTGCATCAGAACAAAAAGAACAAAGAAAAAGAAACTCAGTTTAAATATAGATTTGCATTCCAAATAAAATGTTTCACCTGTAAACGTGTTTTTGTTTTTTTGTTTTTGTTTTTGTTTTTGTTTTTTTAGTAATCTCTTTAAAAATGCAAACACAGGGCCAGATGTAATGGCTCACGCTTGTAATCTCAGCACTTTGGGAGGCTGAGGCGGGTCGATCACCTGAGGTCAGTTCAAGACCAGCCTGGCCAATATGGTGAAATTCTGTCTCTACCAAAAATACAGAAATTAGCTGGGCATGGTGGTGGGCACTTGTAATCCCAGCTACTCGGGAGGCTTAGGCAGGAGAATCGCTTAAACCCAGCAGGTGGAGGTTGCAGTGAGCTAAGATCACACTATTGCACTCCAGCCTGGGCAACAAGAGCAAAACCCTGTCTCGAAAAAAAAAAAAAAAAAAAGCAAACACAGGCTGTAATTTCAAGGCTATAGACCCATTTAAATGCCTCCCATAGTGGACTGTCAGGCTTGATTCTTCTTAGTAGGACAGTCAATCTTTACCTTGCATGGGGTCCAGTTCTGTTTGAAAACTAAGGATTAGAACTCCCTCTGTCTCCCAGGGTGGAGTGCAGTGATGCGATCTCAGCTCACTGCAACCTCTACCTCCTGAGTTCAAGTGATTCTCCTGCCTCAACCTTCTGAGTAGCTGGGATTACAGGCCTGCACCACCATGCCCAGCTAATTTTTGTATTTTCAGTAGAGACGGGATTTCACCATATTGGTCAGGCTGATCTCAAACCCCTGACCTCAGGTGATCCACCCACCTTGGCCTCCCAAAGTGCTGGGATTACAGGCGTGAGCCACTGCGCCCAGCTTTGTGTTTTCTTTTAAAGACAGGGTCTTTCCCTGTCACCCAGGTTGGAGTGCAGTGGAGCAATCATAGCTCACTGTAGCCTCCAACTCCTAGGCTCAAGAGATCCTCCCACTTCAGCCTCCCCAGTGGCTAGGACTACAGGTGTGCACCACCATGCCTGGCTACTTCTTTAAAAGATTTCATAGAGATGCAGCCTCACTGTATTTCCCAGGCTGGTCTTAAACTCCTGGACTCAAGCGATCCTCCTTCCTTGGCTTCCCAAAGTGCTGGGATTATAGGTATGAGCCCCTGTGCCCAGCCTGTAAGTGGGTTTTGAGGCTGTTTTCTAGCAAGGAAAAAATTACTAAGCAATTGATCACACCATGCGGGAGGCTCTCAGTGTAACAGGCACCTTCCCAGAGGAGGGTTACATCTGCCTGGGCAAAGGCAGGGAGGCATCCCACCGCTTCACAACACATCTTGGAGTTATTTCTTTTTCTCTCCACTTGTGCCATCACCCACAGAGGACCAGCTCTTGCATGGGGTGCTGAGCTCTGGAGGGGACCGAGGCAGTCCGCAGGATGTGAAGAGCTTTCATTAAGCGTGGTGGGCTCTATAAGGCATTGCTAGGAAGACAGCAGAAGGAACAAAACTAACTCTGGCTGGAGGGGCATCTGAACACACTTTGTGGGACGGACCGGCTTCTGTGGTGAAAGGCTGGAGAAGCTCGTGGCCCCTGGTACAGCCCAAGGGAAGGCTCACGGGTGACATCGCTGGTGTTGTGTCTCATGGGGATTGCGTGTAGAGCCTCCTGTGCTCTCAGAACCATCAGGAACGAACTCCGGAGAGAATCCCTGTCCTACTTTCCACAAAGCAGAAGGCACAGGATGGAGAGTGAAAGCTCAGATGCCCGGGGGAACCACGGTGTCCGGATCAGATTGGGATTTGGGCACCTGCTCTGCCTGAACTTGCAGGAGACAGTGGCACGTGGTTGAGCCTCCCTCAGCCCAGCTCCCTGTCTCTAGAACTGGGAGAGTTAGGTCCTGCCCTGCTGCTCCCCACCTCAGCAGAGGGAGCTGAGTGGGAAGTTCCACAGAGGCCAGCAATGGCAAGGGGTCCAGGGGTCCCT